ATCTCTTATCTTCTCATTTAGGATGGAGTTTCTGGTGGTGATAATGTCTAATTCATAGCACTTGGAAAGGCTAATGCAAAAATACATTAAAGACGCTCTCCAAAATTCTTGATGCACCATTATCCTTCAATGAATGGTAACTGTGTGTTACCATCCCAAAATTATTTTTAAATGATAATTAATTAACAGTCATTTCCCCTCCCCCAGTAGATTGCAAAAAGCATGAACTGGATCTATAATATACAATCTACACAATGGTACACGGTGGCTTTGAACTTCAGCTACAGCAGCACACAGTCACTGACTGTGAATTTTAAGCTGGAGACACCAGGACTGCAATGGTATGTAAAAAATGGGGTTCTAGTCTTTGTGGATCTTATTTTCTAACTCAGGAAGGAGCAGTAGCAGAAATGGTGGCATAAAACACCCGGAAGTGAGACATACACGACTTGAACACAGTGCCTGCCAGGGACCAGCTATGCTATCTTGAGTAAGTGATTTTAATCTTTCAAAGCCTGGACTTTCTCATCTTAAAAATGGGGACAATGGCATTCCTTCTCTCAGAGGTCTGTTATGAGCATTAAAAGGAGCAGCAAGTCTAAGTGTCATGTAGTTTAGGAATTACCATTCTATTGCCCATCAGAGATATAATCATGAAGCAAATGGAGATATCCTTTTGGACCAGAATATTCAGAAAAAGTATCAACAAAGTAGTATAGCTTCAATAAGAAGGGCAGTATGTGTTGCCTCTGAGAATAGGAAGCAGCCAAGTTACCAAAACAGGTCAATAGAGGGGACTTTATGGGTAGTAAGGAAGGTGGCAAAATAGAGCACAAATACCCCTAACAGCACTCAAGTTTCAACATGCAAAAACAAATCATACAGACTGCAAGATAAATCATGCCACTTCAAGGTGGGTAAAAATACTCAAAACAGTAGATAAGACAATTCCCAGTTCTTTTAGAAGGCTTGCCCTTCTTAATCAGCTACTGTCACTTTTCTTCTTCCTCTGGGGATATCTGGGACAGATCCTAGGCCCTTGATAGTCCTTGTAACTGTCTTCCTTGACAGAAGCACAGTCCCCCATCTACAGAAAGTACAGCCACAGTGTTTTCAGACTCTATGCAGTGCCTGGAGCCCTGCTCTCAAAATATGCCGGGCCTTCCCTCTTCCCTGACCCCACCCCCATCCTGGATGAATTGACTGCAGAGATGTCTTGCTCACAGTACATTGTTTGAAAGTTTGTGTCATAAATGTATCGATCCTGCCTCATGCTCCCAAACAGAATCTCGATGTTGAAGCACTCCTTTAATCAAAAGTAAATTATGTACAGGGCACAGAGGTCAGCTCAGCCAGCCTCACAAAAGAGGCAATCCATCATTTATTCGTAAATGTCAGTGAAATCTGGTGATCAATATGTGCGCCAATGTGGATTATGTTTATTATTTTTCTGTAAATATCAATGCCCGGAAAGGGTTGGATGGAGCATGCAGATGCCACGGGAAAACAGAATCTAACCTAGGATACACGGCTGAATGGTGGAATTCTTCCAGGTGGCTTTGATCTATCTATTTGGAACTCTTGCAGGTGAGAGCTTCGCCATTCCTGCTCTCATGGTAAATAGAAAAGAAGGGAAAATTCTTATAACAATCCACATGACTGAGAAAGTTCCAGAATGTTTACCCTACTGTGAGAGGGAAATGGATTTTTCTGGCATATTCTGATGAGTGACTTTCAACAAAGAAATTAAAATGAATCCAAAAGATCTGATTCCTCCATAAGATCCCTGTAGCCAGCAGGCAAAGGACTTTATAGTGCTGTCCCTTGCCTCATCAGCACAGCCGCGTATGTGACAGCAGTCCAGGCAGTGGAGAAGCAGCAAGCAGCTATTTAAGAGAAAGGATCTTGTTTCAGATTTCCTATTACTTCCCTACATTAATTCTAGAGGCCAAAGAGAGCCTTGGGGGTTTGAGTCAGTGAGAATCATAATCAAAGCTGTATTTAGGACAAATAAACAATAAATATTTGAATGAACAGTATTGAAAGCAGTAAAGAAAGACTGAAGGTAGAGAAACCAATTGTGAATTCCAGTCTGGATAGGCAGACTTCTGTCTGTGGTAGAAAGATCACAAGCCTTGCAATCAAACACACTGGGGTTCCAGATCAAATCCTTGCTCTGTAATTACCAGATGAATAAATCTGAACAGTTTATAATACTGCTCTGGGCCTCAAGGTCTTGCTTTATAAAATGGGGTTCATAAGAGCAGCTGCATCAGTCAGGATAGGCTAGATTATGCTGCAGTAACAAATGATCCTTGAATCCCAGTAGCCTAAAAAAGGTTCTTTCCCTCTCATGCTTTCTTGCCCATGGTAGATCAAAGGGTTTGGGTGCTCTGTGAATCACATGTTGCTCTTCCTCTCAAACAGGTGATGCTTTACTTCAAGGGACTCAGGAAATATGATACTACACTGTGTTCAGAAGGAGGACAATTGGATATACTTATCACATAGTACTGATAGCTCACACAGAATTATAGGGTTTGACGGCAAATTAAAGGAAAGATGCTTATATGAAGCACATTTTCTGGAACATGACAGGAGGGCATTTAACAATAGCTGCTAACATCAGGTCAGTCATTTTATATCAGACTCTGAAGGCCAGATTTCATCTGAGAGACAAGGTAGTGGTCACAGTAAACGTGACGGTGAATAACTGGATAGTAGGTTTTTAAGAGTAACCTTGAATGTGAAGGGGTAGTAAGCATTGAGACCTTCCTGGAGGAGGTGCTAGTTAATGTCCCCTAGGCATGTTGCCATGAGAACAATGGAAGCCTACAGATATCTGGGATATACAGATATCTGCCATTCTGATGGACAGAAGTGAAAACCCTACCACCTATTTTGATGGAAACTATTTTGCCAGTTTAAGTCATTGCATATTATAGAGTGAACATCCAGACTTGAAGACATTTATGCTGTTTTCTCTCCCCAGAGCCTCTTCCTTCTCTTTGCATCTCCATTGGGAGCCTTACAGTTGTGCCATTCAATATTAGGTAATATGACATTTGAGGTCTGGGTGCATTACTCAAACTGTCTCTGTGCCCTTGATAAAGTCCACTGTGCTTCCTCTCTAGGCTTCAGTAGACTCATTTGTAAAAGAGTTAAAATTCATCATCTCTAAGGTCTCTTTCAACGCCAAGTTTACAGGCTCCTGAAGAATGTTGGCCGTGACTACATGATTAGTCTCCTTGGGTATAAGATAAGGTTAATTAAAAAAAAACTAAGAATATTTGATTTGGTTTGCACATTCTTGGCTTCATGGGGTCTATTTTTTCCATCCTTTGGTGGACTAGAAGCCAAAAGGAAAAAGGAGGAATAAAATCATTATGTGTGTAGCATATGGGAGTTACTTTCAGGTATTTGAGATCATTAAGAAAGAGCAACTCAGCTCATTGTTTTTTTTTTTCTTTCTGGTCCCAGGCTTAGGAAGATCCCCACAAACTTTTCAGTAGAATGCCCTCAACTTTGGTCAGTGGGCCTAAGGGAGAGATTTGAGTTTGCCTGAAATCCGTGGTAGCACCTATACGCCATAATTCAAGCAAGGATGTTTGTCTTGTTCTCTGTTGGATCCCAATCCTGAGAATAGTGGATGGCATGTACTTGAGTTCCACTACCCAGAGAACAAGTGGGTGCATTGTGAAGGGAAAACCAATCACACACAGATCCTCCATCCGGGGCATTTCCTGTTAGCCCCTCAGAGGCCAGCATTCTTTCTCTTATGTCTGTCTCCATGTTTCTCTCTCCATTCTTTAATTGAGAGACAAAGCATCCAATCCATGCTTAACCCCGGTTCAGGTCCTCAGTGAGTCAGGTGCTAATCTGCTTTTCGCCACCTAGTGTCTAAACTTTCAAATTGACTCAGCACAAGGGATCCTTTCTAGAGAGATGGAGGTTTGACCTCTTCATCTGTGGACTTGGGAGGCCTAGGAAAATGTGTTTCCCTGCCCTCTTCTCCTAAGGAGGGGGAGAGGGAAATTAATGGTCACAAAAGATAAAACGTATTCTAGCCTCCACTGAGTTATCAAAAGATAAGGTGTTTTCAGAGAGTCTTTAGCTTCCTGTTTGGGGTCGATTTCAGAATGAGCTGGCTGGCTGGGACGGATCCCAGTGCTGCCCAGGTGAGGTCTGAGAACTTGGCAAGCTGCTCTGTCTTCTCAGTGTCACCTCTCTCATCTCTAATGTGGATAAAAACACTAGTTTCATAAAAAAAAACCTAGATTCATAAAAAACACTAGTTATATCCCAAACATAGTATAGACTCTTGGATACAGCAATTAACAAAGCAGATGGAAATTTCTGTCCTTCTTTCATTGATCTCTTAATTTTTAATGAATGCTAGCTCTCACTAATATTATTATTAATGTTGTACTAAATATAAATATTCCAGGACTTTTATCTGAATAAGCCTTTTTTCTATAACTGATGTCAGAGAATTGACAGTTGTGTTTGCTAAATGCCCACAGAGCACAGAGCCCTGAGTCGATATCTCCGGAGAAGAGAGGAGGAGGGGATACAGACTGAAGCCTTGGCCTTTGCCTTCAAGGAGTTTCAGGACATGTGCAAAGACCAACAGGAGCTAAAGGACTCTCGAAGTTAAGAAATGCGCATAAATTAAACACACCACCCTTTCCTGCCTGTTCTCAGTTACCTGTCAGTGATAATAAGAACATAGATGGAGTTTCATCATTGTCTACTGCTGTCTGTCCAGAAGAGCCACTGAACCATCCTGAGGAGTCCAGAAAGATGGAATCCAGTCGTTTTTTTATCTATTCTTTGGGAGAGAGTGGAGTTGAATAAATAAAAGGATGTGTGTTTCTTAGATTGACAAGGATCCTTGTCAAGGGCCCTTACAAGGCAACAGCAGGTGAATGCCAATGTGACATATCTGATAACCTATGTAGCTGTGTGACTTCACAGTGGTTTAGTCCCTGAAGGGGATCTCAACGATCCCTTTACTCAAATCTCCTTTTTTAAAGAGAAGGAAATAAATGCATGAGGGAGGGGTGTGTGAATTCACCCAGGATCATGCGGCTGATGTGTGAACTGCCTGGTGAGAACGTCTTCTGCCTATTCCCAGTTCAGGGCTCTTTCCATAACCTCCTGAAGTCTCCTTTTGACTAACTTTGAGCAAAAACTCTTACAGCTCAATAACCTTTTTGCTTAACTGTTCATTCTAGGCTCATGTGGTGGCCACATGTTGTGGAGGAATCTGAGGAGGGGTTTTCTAATCCAGAGGGTACTGGCTGGGCAATTAGATTCACGTCCAGTTGTGGAAAACAGAAAGGAGACCTTGCAGCTATTTTCCCTTATACTGCTGTCTTCTCCAAGGAGTTGAGATAAAGCTGCTGTTTTTCTTCTCCCAGATTCCTCAGGATGGCTCAACAGCATTTCTAGACAGATGCCATAGACGGTGATGAAAATCCCACCATATTATTAGTGAGAGGTAACTGAGAACAAGCAAGAAAGGTGGATGTGTTCAATTTATCCGTATTTCTCCAATTCAAGAGTCCTTTTGATCTCGCAAAGGACTTCTTTCATTGTGGAGGAGACAGTACTCCAAGCTCCCTCGATGTTGACTAAATCTTTCTTTGATGCTTTTCCCTTCTCAGAGGTTCCAGATTCCTTTGGCAGCGTGGGGAGAGATTTTTAAAGGCGGCGCCATCTCGTGGCCGCGATGGTGAACAGCAGCTTACCGGCAGAGAAGGCCAGTTGCTAAGGACAGCAGCTGCAGCCATTTATCTCTGCTCTGACTAAATGGCCGGAAAAATCATAGAATGTTCATATCGAGAGCAACCTCCAGAGATTTTCTGTCAAGACATCTGCCTCCAGCCAACACGAATAATATATCTTATGCTTAGAGTGTTGTGTAACACACTTTTACAAATATTATCACATTTTATTTCTCACATCAGCCCTGTGAATTTTGATAAAATCATTACCTCCGTATTAAAGATGAGTGGTTGATCAGTCATAATTTAGGTTTCTTGAACAAAATCACTCAGCCAGTGAGTAATGAAGAAGAAGCAAAACCCAGGCCTTTAACACATCCCTTCCCACTCAAAATCTGTTTTAAGCACAGGAAAATCCATGTAGATGATGAGATTTCAAAAAGCCTGGCTGGTCCCAGTCTTGCACACCAGTCCTTACACAAATATTAGGTCAGTATTTGGAGCAGATATTATGTAAATAATATTGAGCTAGGAGAAGGTTTCTTTCACCCACAGATTTATCTCCAAATTCCCTCTTGACATATAATCAAACCAAACAGTCTGGACCAAGGTAGACTGGGTGTGGACTGGCTGTTGACAAGGGGGTGCTGCTGTGTCCCTCTGGCAGTGAGCAGTGGGTCCGTCCAGGGATGGGAAGAGGCTGCTGGTTGTACCAGAAGAGGCCTTGTAAGAGGAAATTAAGCCGGATATAACCCTGATCTGAAATCACTGGGCACATCTCGGGTCGCTGGTTTAAATATTCAACAGTCTTCAGGGAGAAAATGAATTAATGAATAGGGTCATCTAACAGGAGAGAGGGAAAAAAAAGTGTTTAAAAGGTAAAAAGGCATTCTTTGCTCAACCCACTTCCTGTCTACAGAAGCATCAATTCCTCCCAGGTAGAGAAGGTGTCTAGTTGCATCATAGCCCCTCACCTCCTCTCACCCTGGCCCTCCTTTCATCCCACCTCACTACGTCTCCCAGTATTTGGACATTGGAGGACTGTAGCCCTCTGTATTTGTGCAGTCCCAGGACTGTCTCTGATGGAGAAGCTGTCTTGTGTGCTTTGGTTGTTTTAGGAACGAGGTATTCTTTCTTAATGGAGGTCTTGACTTGTGGGCTGAGATAGCGAGCTAGGGATGTTTGCTTTTGTCTGGTTGTTACTTGTCAAAGAAAGAATATATTTATAAAATAAAAAGCCATCTCTGTGCTTCTTGGGGAGAAGACTGGATAGAAAGGTAAGATTCAGGCCAAATGAAGAGTGGGAGTCTCGCAGCACCAGCCCTGTCCCCCCTGAGCTCTCTGCAGTGAGTACCCAGAGGTTCTTCATGTGAAGGTTAGGAACAGATGGTTATTCCCTCCCCTCAAGGAAGAGGCTGCTGTGGCTGCCAAATGAGTCTTTAAGAGGAAATCAAGCCAGATGTAACCCCTGAAGTTACTGCCTTCTTTTCTATTCTTGTCTCCTAATAAGAACCAAGAAGTACAAGAGAAAGGTAGAACCAGACTGTTCCTGGGGTGTCTGTCTATACTGAGGGGAGAAGGCAAAGCGACTACAACATCAGTGTCTCCTCCACCCTGCTTTCCTGAGCCTCAGCCTACACATAGCCCCACAGGAACAGCGGAGAACCACTTCCGGGGTCAAATCCCAGCCCAGAGGCTTGTGTAAAGTTTACAGGGAGTGTAAATGAGCCCCTTTCTCATGGGAGAATTCCAGTCCATTCCCTGTACTTCCCAATTCCCCGTTACTTTTGCTTCTACTCAGACCTCAGGAAGTCTAGTATCAGTCTCCATTGTCTAGGGACAGACCAGAGGAAGAGATTATGTTAAGAGGAAAGAAAAGCCAAAAGAGTTCTTCCTCTTCCTGTTTGCTCTGGTCTTACTTCCTTATTAGTCTTAAACACACCAAAGGAATTGGCGAGTGAGCTCCTTCCTCTGCCAGATCTCCCCATGGCACTTCAGGTAGAGGTGTTCAGAGCTGGTTCACAGGCACTGGTGCTGTTTGGATAGATAGGCTGTGCTTTCAGCCCTCAAGACTCCAATGTCATGTGGACAATGCTCCAGTAATAATAACTTCGAGAGCACCTCCCAAGAGCATTGACAATAATGATGATGTCACATGCTCATCCAAAGACATTTTAAAGGACTTACTATGAGCCACGTAAACTATTTTCCAGACTTGGGCTTCCTGGGACATGATTCTAGGACTTGGGATTCATCAGTGAACAAAGGAGTAAACATTTCCACCCTGATGGATCTTTCACTGTAGTCCCCAAAACTTTTGCCTAAACATTTATACTTTCTTGAAGACTTGCAAGAAGCCCAAAATTGCTGAGATCTGAACTTCCTGTTTTAGGAAGAAACTTATTTATTCTACTCTTCCTATCATAAAGCTCTTTTTTTTCCCCCCATCTCCAAGTCAAACTTCTGACTCACCTCGTCCAAATGTCTTTCTTGATTTTCTCTGCCAAATATTGATGCCAACACATTTATTTTCTTTCTACTGTTGGCAACTTGGTGTCATGGAAAGAAAAAAGATCCAGAATGAACGGGAACTCTAATCTCCCCTCCACCACTCACTAGATGGTTAACCTTAGCCAAATCTCTCTATTCCAATTGCCCCATAAGTTAAGTGGCATAATAAGGGTGTAGTGAGAAGTCCGTAGGACCACACTTGGGGACGTGCTGTGTCAATGGTCTTGTGCATTAATGCACAGACAGTCTGGAGGCCCTGGGCTTAGCAGAAAGAGCAGCCCAGTGGAATTCTTTCTGGTGTATGAACTTACAAGAATAATAAATTCTAGGCTCCGTTGTTGAGCAAAGCATGTTTTCTTCTCTGAATGAAAAGAAGATGGGAATGGAAGCCAATTCTCTAGAGAACAAGTGAAAAATGAAAAGGAAAGATTGATAAATAGGGATAGCTATTCATTTTTTGTAGGAAAGATAAATTTCTGTGTTCAAGAAGGTGTATGAGAACTTCCTGAACAACCCCAGGAAACCCAGGTTTGAAGATGACCCTGTGGATATGGGATGTTGCCTGGCACCCTGCTAGGACTTTTCAAAGAAAAAGACAAAGAATGAACTAGAAACTTGGTTTGATTTCTTTATTTCTTCAGTCAGTGTCCTAGAATAAGGGAAACTCATGCACAATTGGTAATAGGCAACCAGCTCTTGGGAAAGCATACCTAACCCAGACCCCAAGGGTCCCTCCCTGAGCCTTCTGTTCCCCCTCAAGGAAGCCTGTGACACAAAAGCCACTTCTGCCTTCTAACAAAGCTGCCCTGGTCACGACGGAGGAAGACTGGGGTGCAGACATCACTTCCACAGAGGAGAAAAATGATACCAGAGCAGCTTGGATGGGAACAATATTTCAGGCATGGCTAGCTGTTAAAAATGAGCTAATTCAGAAGAGGCACATTTAAATAAATATAATGCAAAGGCATAATGGCACAAGATAATAGTTTTGAATGGGGAATTCTAATGACTTCAAGTGCATTTCACAGGGTAATTAATACACATGGCAATGCTGCAGCGTTCAGCAAAAGGGGAGGGGAAACAGGGTCGGGAGCAGAAAAAGGGGAGATGACGGTAACTGATAAAAATAGGATTTGATTTTCTTTGCAGAAGGAGTAATGCTTACAAATATAATAAAAGAGAAAAATAAGTGTGTCAGGTCTTATAATTCAACTTGTTAAATTCAGAATGATTAGTTTTTGAAGAGGGCAATTAGTCCTCTTTTGCATATTCATGGGGATTTCATGAAATGGGGCTGGGCTTTCTCCATTCTTCTCTGGTTACCCCCTTCATTACCCTTCCCCCACCACAAACTAAAAATATCTGTCATTCCCATCACACGAAGGGCCTCATTCCACTCAATTCGTGGAGGAGATTCTTTGCTGATTGGTACCTACAAATGTCCAGGATTCTCTTTAAGAAAATACCTATCTTTATGGACATTGACACAAGTGAAGTGAGGTGTGCGAATCTTCAGGAATTGAGGAAAGAGAGTTTTGATGAAAAGAGGGAGATTATACAGGACAAGAAGCTTGCACCTTTGTGGTGCGGGGGAAGGAGTGGGGAGACAGAGAAAGAGTGAGTGCAAGACAGGAAAGAAACAAATCTGGAAGAGATCCAGTTTGGTGAGAAGCCTTGGAGGATAATTTTAAGGCAGCCAGTAAATGTGTTTTCCCCTTTTTTGTTTATATGCTTTTCAAGTGTTTCCTAAAACAAACAAAACTAGACAACCAAGGAACAAACAATTCCAAAAGCCACACACAGTCAAAAACCACCTCAGCACACAAGGGAGAGGCCTGGATGGTTTCTCTGGTTTGTGGCTATCTCTTCAACACATTGATTTCTGCTGTGGGCTGTGTGTGTGTGTGTGTGTGTGTGTGTGTGTGTGTGTGTGTGTGTGTGTGTTAACTCGATCACTCTCCTGATATCATGTGCTCAGAATCTCCTTGGTCAGCTCCCCAATTTGTAGCCTGCACATTCTCCCCATGCCCAGATCCTAATCAGGGCTCCAGTTTTCCTGACACAGCATGGACTATGAACTCCAGACCTGTCCCTTTTATGACCCTCCTGGTTCCCCACTACCACTACTACACAAGCAGAGCAGGCCTTGTATAGGGACAGCAGAAGAGAAGCCAAGACTTGAGTTCCTTCTGCACCCACACAGAACACGTTTGCAGATGTTTGTCTGCACAAGAATGCACCTGTGAAAACACAAAGGCTAAGAGAAGCCCACTGTTCAAGGCCATCGTGCTGGACAGAGGCAGACCTGGAGTCTGAGCTCAGGTGTGTCTGACTCCAAATTCCAGGCTCCTCAATTGCTTTACCTTCCCAGCTTTTGGGTCCTCAGGACCACTGAAGGAGAAGTTCAAGGGGAAATTTACTTTTATCTTACCCGGAAGGGCAAGAAAATTGGACTAGGAGGAAAACTGATAGAAGAGAATATCGACCCTTTATTCCTGATGTCCCCTTGCACCTGGAGCAATGCTATTAGGATGACATCTCCCAGCTCCCTTCTCTACACCTTCTCTTTGACCTGTGTGTAGAGTGTGGATTGCAGGCCCTTCCCTAGGGGAAAACTCAGCCTCTTTCCAGAATAGCCTACCTCCACAAGGGTAAGTCTATTTGATTCTTTGTGTAGATGTGTTTTGTGGTCCTGGAATTGAACCCAGGGCCTCATCATGTTGGGAAAGTGCTCTACCACTAAGCCACACCCCAGCCCTGTTTATTTAATTCTGAGGTTCAATCTTA